GAAAAAGCTTCAGAAAACACCTTGGAGGTTTGGAGAGTGACATGAACTTACGACACTCTCAAATCCTGAGGAAAAACTTCATGCCCACTACAGTACGTTGACACATGTTTTCTGGAACCACAATGTTGAAAAAATAAATAAAACCCAGTTTCTATATTTTAATTTCCCTTTTTTGAGAGTTAAGCGAGCTCTTCTTGACCAAAATGAAATTTTGATGATCAAAATTTTGTTTTCTCATCTGTAAAATGGGTTTTGACGAGAAGACAAAGTAAGTGAAAATATGAAAGCAATTTGTAAGTATAAAGGGTCAAACAAACACAACACTATTATTATCATCACTGTCCTCATTGTAGAATTAGCTGGAGCCTCAACAGTTTCCTTGTTTTTCTCATAAAATTCCCCGGCTTCCTCTTTGGGTCCCTTTATCTAATTTCCGTGCTGGTAGCAGTCGCGTATTGCTGCCTGCGGATCTGTTTACTTTCCGCAGGGAATGTTTGAATAGTTGGTAGAAAAACTGCTGAGGGTTTGGGGAAGTGAGGAGTTGCCCCGCTCCGCCCAGCTGCGGCTCCTCGGGGCGTAAGTGCGCGGCCTGGGTGAGGCCACTTAAATGAGCTTTGTAGCTTTTGTTTTTTTCCTTCCCATTTCCTTTCTTAAGTTTTTACTGTATTTTTCGCGTTACCGTCTAGTCCCCTTACACCCCTCCCCGCAGCAATCCCCACGCTCTCGTCCGTGTCCTTGAGGCCTTTTTGCTCAGCCCCTCCCCCACCCTCCCTCCACCCACTAGCTGTCATCTGCTCTCCTTCTATGAGTGTCTCTCTTTTGCCTATTTGTTCAATTTGTTCATTAGATTCCATGTATGCGGGAAATCATATGGTATTCGTCTTCCTCTGACTGGCTTATTTCACTTAGCGTGTTGTTCTCCAGGTCCACCCATGTTGTCGCCAAGGGTAAGATCTCTTTCTTTTTTATTGGGGGGGATAGTATTCCACTGTGTAAGTGTCCTGTAGTTGTTTTATCATCTACTGACGGACACTGGGGCTGCTTCCAAATCTTGGCTATTGTAAGCAATGCTGCAATGAACGTGGGGTGCATATATTCTTTCAAATCGGTGTTTTCGGTTTCTTGGGATGAGTTCCCCGAAGCGGAATCGCTGGGTCATGAGGCAGTTCCATTTTTATTTTTTTTCAGAAAACTCCATACGACTTTCCACGATGGCTGCAGAAGTCTATGCGTGAGGGTTCCCCTTTCTCCGCATCCTCACCAACGCTTGTTTGTAGATTTATGGATCTTATTATGGTCTATCTCTTATCTATAAGTTCGGCTACTTGTTTTCAGGCTTCTAATTGTAAAAGCCTAGTCCAACATCAGAACTAAACAGATTAGCTCACAGCTAGGAGAGTGTTTTCCCGTGTATAGGAGGGCTTGATGTTGGTGTCGTGAGCGTGTTTGCCCCGTTGAGTTATAACCGGTAGAGGTCAGGTTGTGTTTCCCAAAACATCCCCACAAAGTTAGGTTGACCCCATGGCTAATCTGGGACGTCTCTCTCCTTCCATTCGTAGTAAGACTTCAAAGGCCTCCATCACCGTCACTCAGGCACAAGATAAGGACACCCTGTGTGTACGGCCGGCCACCCTGAGCTCCGGTGTATAATAAGGCCTGTCACTGGGTGCCACAGGAAGCAGAGTTCCACGTCTGTAAGCTCTTCAGGTTTCCTGGCCTTTGAGTCTCCTGCAGGCTCCCAAGAGGGTGTCTGATTCAGCAGCAATTGTCGATGTGGTGGGGTGGGGGCTTCTGGGTGTCTGAGCGCCACAGGTACCGGCCCGGGCTCTAAAGTGATTGGCCCTGTTTTGGGTTTGAGAAATATGGAACCACATTGTTGAAAAAAAAATATCCAGTTTCTATATTTTAATTTCCCTTTTCTGAGAGTTAAGCGAGCTCTTGACCAAAACGAAATTTTGATGATCACAATCTTGTTTTCTCATCTGTAAAATGGATTTTGACAAGGATATAGACAGAGTGAAAATGAGACAGCACTTTGTAAACATAAAGGGCCAAACACGACCCTATTACGGCCCAACAGACAGAAACTGCCGTCGCAGAGTTCACATCTCGGGCCGGGGGTCCAGGGACACGGAGGCCGCGGCAGTTGCGCGCAGCGCCGTGGGGAGGACCGCTGCGGGGCAGGAGGTGCAGGCAGGGCTGGCCGTTTTAAGGAGGGAGGCCAGGTAAGGCCCCCCAAGAGAGGCGTTTAAGCAACCGCCCCGAGGGTGAGGGCATGAGCCCCGTGGGCGTCGAGGGGAAAGAGTGTTGTCAGCAGAGAGGCCCGGGGCAGCACGCGGGACGGCACCCCGAACCGCAGCGTGGCTGGGACGCGAAGCAGAGGGACAGGGGACCGTGCTGAGGAGGAAGAGGGGCGAGCGCCTCGTGCTGCGGGCCGTGCGGGCCCCTGTAAGGGGCTCTGCTTTCACTCGGGGTGAGGTGGGGGCCACTGAAAGGTCTGAGCGCAGGAGTGACACGAAGGGACATGTTTTGTAGACTCTCAGTGGCTCCTGATGGATTAAGGGGGCCCGGGGTGGGAGGGGAAGCCAGGAGGCGCCGGTTGTTGCCAGCATCCAGGTGACAGGACGGGACGGCCGGAGCTGCTACGCTCCTTGCCCAGAGTCACCGTTCCCGTCCTTCTCCTTGGTAGTTATTTTCCTCTCTGTGACAGCAGTCGCTTGAGAGGTGAGAATTCTTGAGAATCGCCTTGGAAACATGGGGCGACATGTCCGTCTCCCTGAAACTTACCGCAGCCCGTAAGATACGCAGGAGACGAAGCCCGAGTGGCAGCCGGACTCCGAGTCTACGGCCCAGCGGAGAGGGAGCGGCGGGCGGGGCGGGGCGGGCGCGCGCCCTGAGAGCCCCGGGGCTGGCCCGGGGCAGTTCCTTCCCTCTCGCACCGGCTTGCGCTTCCCGGAGGAGTCGCTGTTCCCACGGCTCCGTGGACTGACCGACAATCTCTTTGTTCAACTGCATGGAGAAGAGGCGAGGGGGCTGTGATGAGCCTTTCTGCTCAACGGAAGCACCCGGTGCGGCAGGGAGGGCCCAGGGCCCGGTCGGGAGAGCCCCCAAGGAGGCAGTGCCGGTGCGGGGGTGGGGGAGAGCCTCCTGGCAGGAGGAGGTCCCGACCCTGTGCTCAGGTCACAGTGCCCGTGTCTGCTGGGTTGCTGTCGCCAAACACACGGAGAAAACGGGCAGAGACCGGGAACTCTGTACATCTCGGGGGCGGGGGGGTGTTTTAGAAGGAAAATATTTTTACATTATCATCTTTTTATTTTCTGATGAGCGGATTTCAACATTAATGAAGTGTCAGCTTTCAGAAAATCTCTGACGATACAAGATCAGACCATACATGAGTCACAACGTTTCCCTTTAGCTCTCCCAACAATTTCTCCCACTTGTATTTCGGGATATCGCCTTAAGGAAATGCCATGCATTTTATTCAGGTGAACCCCAAAACAGACCAAGAAACCAGCAAAAAGCAAACGCACACGCACAGTAAAACGCCTATGGTTTGGTGTGTAGGCGTTCGTCCATTCAGTCCTTCAGCAGAACGTGTTGGACGCCCGCTCCGCGGCCCGCACTGCGGGTACGGGGGTGGGCACCCCAGCGGGGGAATAAGCTGTCGAGAGCGCCAGACGAGACGCTCTGCCTGGCTGGTCGGTGGGGGCCGGCAAGGTCTGCAGCCCCCGGGGGGGCCCACGAGGGGGCTGTTCCCGGTGAAAACGGTAGTGTGCAACGAGGACAGGGGACTCAGGTCAAGACGAGGAGGGACCTCGGTGTGGCTGGCGCCCAGGAGGCGCTGGAGGGCGGGGAGACGGGGCGGAGAAAAGGGAGGCCAGCGCTAGGACCCCGTCCATTCCCTTCGAAAGCATCCAGATTCCGGGGGTTTGGGGGTGGATACTACCTCTACGCGCGCGGCTGTCTCAGAGGGAGGCCTGAAGAAAAAGGTGAATTGTGTGACGGACTGTTAATTCTTTCTTTTCCCCTCTCAGCCACACATCCTTTCCTTTTGCCCGCTGGCCTTGTCTTTTGCCCCCTCTTCTCCAAGTCCAGAACGGGGCCGTGCGCTCCCCCATGCCCCTTCGCGGAGCTCCCCGCATCCAGCCCTCCCGCCCACCGGCCCGACCGGCCCAGTGCCCCATTACACAGCGCCCTGTGTGACACGAGAGTCCGCTAATCAAGGCTGAAGTGTCACTGTCCGAAAGAGTTTACTTCCAATGAGTCATGGAGAAAACCTGGACTTCACCTGCAGAAAAGACAGCCGTAAACCCGAGGGCCCGTGCGAACTTTCTGCCGACGTGGGAGACACATTCTGCCAGCCATGCCCCTCCTCCCTAGAGAATGCTTTTCTCTTTTTGTTCCTTAAAATTAGTAGCATGTATGGCATGGTGGGTGACTCATGGAGTGCCACGCAGCTCAGTTCACATTTATGAGGCATTGCCAGAAAATCTTGCCTTTAAGGGAAGCCAGTGACTGCATGGTGGAAAAGCCAACAGTTACCTAACTGCCCCGGGAAGTTCAGTACGAGGCAGCTTCTGCGGCCCGCGGCGGGTGCTGGGGGAGCCGGCTCGCCAGGGCTTTCTGCAGGCACTTCCTCCTGCGCTGGGGACGCTGCCCCTGCCCGGAAAGCTGGCGTGGCCATTTACATACCACACGGGCTAATCTGCTCTTAGTCACAGCTGGCTGCCTGACGCATCCTGGGAAATCCCTGTTTGGAAGAGCAGAAACGTTAAAATCGCAGTTGCTTTGCTTTGAACCTTATTCTGCACAAGTCCCACACCCAGGTACCACCACCTTTCATGAAGAAACTACCGCTGTCATTTGCTGTCATGAGCTCAGTGTTTCTGCAGTCTTTTTGAAATTTTGTATACTTGGTCTCACTGGAAAAGACGCCTTACCAGACATTTCTTTCTTTCTTTCTTTTTTTTTTTCTTTCTGCTTTCCAAGTCACTGGGAAAAACAGCTTCCATGGCCCACGCACAGGGTGCCACCGGGATGGGCGCGGCAGAAGGTCCCACGGGGCACACGGAGGTAAGAGCCACCGTCCGGGGGCAGGGCATGGTCGCAGGCGGGGGCGGCATCTCTGGCGGCTCGTGCCGCAGTGGCGGATCCAGGCAGCAACGGCTGGTTCGCCTTCTTGAGCTGAGATCGGCTGTGTTTCCAAACGCTCTTATTCAGTAAAGAAACGGCATCTGGGTGACCCCGCGTGTCCTTGGACACCTCTGAGTCGCAGTTCTTTCACAGCGTGAAAGATGGAACCCTGTTCTTCCCGCTTCCAGTTCTGGGGGTTTCCTGCTGTGCTCTTGAGTTAGAAGAATTCGATTCAGTGTAAAACTTAGAAAGGATATTCTATGAATGTGGTCAGAAAGAAAACATAGTATAGCAATACCGTCGCCATAGTAACAGGTGCATTTGGAGTTAGCAGCACAGTCTTTGGTTACTGGTTACCACAACAGATACGAATGAACACACGCATGGGCTTTCCTGAAGTGTTTCAATAGAGATAAATAACTAAGACATAATAGGAAGCTAAGCAAGACTCCTTTGTTCATTTGGGTATTTAATTTAGCAGTGTCAGAACTTAGCTACCTTAGAAGTTGGTCTTGGCATTACGGTAAATGAGATAGAAATACCCGGATACTCTGAACACAGGTTGCATTTTATAGGGAATAATTATTATGTAATCGGGCCATTAGTAGGACCGATGACTAAAAATCTGTGTATTTCTTGGAATATGAGATACCTTCATTAGCAACTAGAAAGCAAAGCAAATACAAAACTTTGTGTTTAGTAGATTTTGCTTCATGTTAACATATATCTGAGATATAAGAACCAGGTAAAATGTTGAATCTCCAGAGAAACCGCTGGTGATACGTTTATGGCTTACAAGCCATTCTTATTGCTGATTTTTTTCCTTTCTTTCTCTCCCTCCCTCCCTTCCCCTTCTCCCTCTCCCTCCCAGAAGCGTATCTAGCTTTTCAATAACTCTTATTTATAAAATAAAAATTAAGGATCAACATAGTTCATATTTTTTCCAGAGAAAATTAAATATGGCAAAAAAAAAAAAAAAAAAAGCATGCCACCCGATGATTCTCAGTCGGGATTCTCAGAGGGCCGGGCAGCCGAGCGTGTGCTCATCCCAGCCGGCTTCGTCCCCACCACAGGCAGAGGAGAGACGCCCTAGGGACCTGAGTCCATGTTCCCAACGCGGTGGGAAATGGGAGAACCGCGAGCTTTAGTGTGAACCATGATGACCTGTGGAATTTATTAAAAATAGAGGTGGAATGAACAGGTGGAGCACAGCGGGGTTTCAGGGCAGTGAACTACGCTGCACGACATCATGGTGACACAGGTCACTCTGCATGTGACACTCTGCACCTGCATGGAAGGTGCTACTGTACTGCGAGAGAGCCCGGATGCACACCATGGATTGGGCGATAATGCCGTGTCATTGTGTGTTCGCCTGTTACAACGAGCGCACCCCTGGCGAGGGATGTAGAAGGGGGTAGGGTCACGCAAGCCTGGGGCAGCAGGGATGTAGGACAGCTCTGTACCTTCCACTCCATTTTGCTATGGACTTTAAACTGCTCCAAAAAGTAAAGTCTATTAAAGAGAAAACAGAGGTGCTCTGGCTCCCTTTTAAAACATTCTGCTCAGTGCTCAGGGGCCTGTGGTTGGCCAGCCCTCACGGGGACGTGAGGCACCCCTGTCCTGAGAGCCACCAGTCTGGGGCCCTGTCTCACGGGAGCCCTGAGTAGGCTGGCGCACAGCACCTTCCAGATCAAAGGTGCCTAACGTTTGGTCCGTTCTGGTCCACAGTGAGCCCCTTCTCTCGGATGTCTCCCTCAAAAGGGAGAGCCCAATTACAGGACCCACTTGCCACCCGGATTTTGAGGTCGCCCAGCCAAAGCAGCCTGAGGTGGGAAGCAAATATAGTGATTCCAAATTTGTTAGAATGTCGCTTTGAAAAGGTGGTTTCAATTGCATGTGGGTCTAAGTAGGAAGAAGCCGAGAAAATTAGAAAGTGCATCTGCAGAGAACGTAACATATCATCAAATCCTAAAACGCTGAGTGAAACATAGGTGAATAGAGAAAAGGTAGGAGAACAGTTTTATAAATCATTTCTAATGAAAAAAGCCCTGGAAATCTCACGATGCTTGCAAAAGAACTTTTCCTGTCAGTGCTTCTGGCAAAGGCCCACGTGTTTTGAATGTGTTTCTTAATCGTTTGTGAGTATCTTTAAGCAACGTTGTGGTCCACAACAACGAGTGAGCCTGAAATGAAACAGCAGGCTGAGGGTCTACCCTCATCACGCGATTCATTGTATGTGGCTCCGAGATGAGGCCACAACAAGACTGTGGAGAAAACAGCACTTCGGCGAGCTTCTCTGGTGGTCCTTGTCGGCACAGGGCAGGCAGCTTCTAGAGCTTTGTGCTTTCTTTGAGTGAAAACTTCCATCCCAACAACAACAACAACAACAACAAAAAAAAAAAAAAAAGAAAAGAAAAGAAAAGAAAATGTGGTCAACTTTTTCACTGTGTCGATGATTCTGAACAAATCCAGGCTTGTGACCCAGTGGCTTTATTCAAAGACCCGGTGAAAATCACACAGTGCCCGGTGTTCTTTGCCTACCGCCCCTCTGTGAGCTGCCGGTCCGATGGCCAGTCGGAAGGCTGGCTGCCCGCAGTCTCAGAACTGATCTTCTGTCGTGGAGCTGCGTGTGCCGGTCTTTCTTACTTGCTGGCTCCATCACTCCACCGGCTTTGGCCACGGCCGCCCCTCAGGTCGTGGTCACGTGCACAAAAGGGTCTTTTAGAAATGTTTGCCCTGCAAGTACCTAACATGTACCCATGAGACGTCCCAGATTTCTGTATGCATTATGCTCTGAATTTTTATTTTGAAAGGAATGGAAGTCAAAATTCATAAAACCCTAATTTCTGGCTTGCTTATTACATTTTTAATTTATTAGAGAATTATTTTGGTAGGTAATTTATATATAAGTCTAAAACGCAGTATAAAGCTATTCATCAACAGCTCTCTGTGGAGGACTATGGAGTGAGGATTGTTACTGCTAGAATGAGATATTATTTTATAAATGCCAACATGACAGTTTGCAAGGTGCGTGGAGTTTGTGAAGGACAGTATTTTTTTTTCTGTTTATTTTATAGCCTATTTTGTTTTACTCTTTTTTTTTCAAGTCTGCTAACTCATCAAGAGAAAAGAACTCGACAAATTCTCTGGAACAAAAGATCAGATGCTTGGAAAAACAGAGAAAAGAGGTAATTTTGAAATAGTCGCCCAATCACCATGCGCCATGGATTGAGGCTGAGACTAACACGGGGTGCGCATCGCCCAGAACCTTCTGTTCTTGTTACGGGGTCACAGCAATGATCCCTAGGGCCCGACTCCATCATTTTGGGAGCAAATGCTTCATCTTAGTCCCCTACCTATCCCCCACTTGGTCGTTCAGTATTTGTGCAAATACATGACAGTCAAAAATGCCAGAACGATGATCTTCTTAACGCCGTCCTCCACAGGCACCAGGTGAGAGTGTCACCTGTGCCCTGCATGCCTCGCAACTCGGCACACCTGGGGACGCACACTGTCAACGGCGCTCTGTGCAGTGGACGTCTCTGAGGTCGCGAGTCGGGCATCTGCCGGGGGGAGGGCGGTTAAGGAGCATCGCCATGCAAAGCGTGTGTTTGTATGGTGTTGTGGGGAATGGGGTGGCCAGTGCTTTTCTACGTTTAATGAATGTTAGAACCTCCTTTCTTCCTGGCAGAGGGAGAGGTGAAAAGCGCAATGAGTTCCGCGCCAGGCACGTTGTCAGTTTTGGGAAGGCTCCTCTAGACCGGTCTATGTATCATCGCATCTGTTACGTTGGCTGCCCTGGGGCCTTCTGCCCCTTCCTGATGCGGCATAAAATGCTGTGCCCCTCCCGAAAATCACTGGCCTGTCGCGGAATAACGCCCTCCCAGCCCAGCCATGTCGGCCCCTAAAACGCCAACCGGTCAGGCGTGCTTATGTGGTAACATCATACAGCCTTATAGTTAATACCCCATCCGTTTCCTGCATGAGCATTACCTGGTGACTGCCTCTCCGGGTTAGGTGTTTTGTTTCGTAGTTAAGAGAAAGCCTTGCTCGTTTCAGTCACTGTGACTGCCTTCTAGGCGTGTGCTGGTTGGTGCTGGAGTGTCTCTGCCTGCAGGAAGTCGCAGAGTCCCCTCAGGAGATACCTAGAACGCACGCCACCTGTTCGTTTCCTCCCTTCTTTTAGCACATAGTTTTAAAACATCCATATCGCTTGTAACCTCATTTATCTCTAAAGACTGTCTTAGGATAAAACTATTGTTCTTTCTATACTTTCAAAAAGTTGGTATTATCCATGTTTGATCCATGTTACAAATCCCGTGTGGATTTTAAAAAGCTGGTCATTGCGAGTGAATGATACTCAGTTAATGGGGTTTGAAATTTGTTAATATAAGTTCTGCTTTTAAAAAGCTGGAAGGAATCTTTCATTATAATAGTCAGTTAAGCACACAGAACAATATGGAGTGGATTGAAAAAAGACCTTTTATATTTTAATGAATCTTCAGGAAACCATCAATACTTACAAATTTTTACCAGATTCTTGTTGGCTTAAACAAAGAAGATAGAAATTCATGCAACCAAGCAAAGTTAAAAGTTGCTAATACACTATGCGGCAGACTAGCCAAGACACATCAAAGATGATAGTTTTTCGGGACTACTCTCTTCACCCAGGGCTTCCAAAATATTAGGAACTTCAAAAAGTGATTTCATTTCATCCAGATTTCCAAGCGGGCAAAAATCCTTTGTTGATTTACCACATTTTAATCATTTCAGCTCCTGGAAGTTAACCAGCAGTGGGACCGGCAGTTCAGAAATATGAAAGAGCTGTATGAAAGAAAGGTAAACTCTGCCTCTGCTCACCCTCGGCTTCGAACCCATCACCTGGGGTGGGGGTGGGGCCGAGCCTGGGAAGGCGCTTGGTGACTTCATAGCGGGGCTCCTGGAGAGCCAGCAGGTGAAAATGGCGCGAAAGGTCCCCCTCGAGCCGGCTCTGGCGTCCTCCCGCACGTGGGGCCGAGCCCGCGCTCTGTGGCCACTCCGGGCCCCACGGCTCCGTGTCCCTCCTGCTTCGAGCCAGGCTGGGCCCCTCCTCCCTGAGCTCGGCAGCGTGAGCGGCTCTGCGCAGAGGAAGGGCGACAGGAAGTGGGGCGCCCCCTCTCCTCTCCAAAGCCCGCTCGCTCTCGGGCAGCTTTGGCTCTGGTGAGAAAGCCGTTCTGGGGAGAAAATATCTTTGAAAAGGTCAAAGTCAATTTAGAATTTAAGGTCATTCCACATTTAAACAGAGAGAGAAGAGAAGGTGAATTCCCCCAGCAGTTCAGAACTAGGACCCTCGGCAGCAAAGAGGGCTGTGGAGCATCGCCCTCGGCTCCCCTGCGCCGATGCCCGGGGGCTTCAGGGTTAGAAAGGGCAGGGTGGCCCGTGCCCCCTACACCAGGCCCCAGTCGGCCGCCCCGTCACAGAGTCTGGGCAGCGTCGGGCCTCCCGGCCGTAAAGAACAGGATCCCGGGAGAACATGTCTATGGCCGGCGGGCGTGGGGGCCCAGGGCGCAGAGTGGGTGGGACTCCCACCTCTGTGCAGCACCACCCCTGGGCCCTCTCCCTGGGCTGTCCTCACTGGGAGGACCGTGGTGGCCCCGAGGCGCAGGTCCAGCTGCAGGTCAGATGGGCTTTTCTCAGGCGGGCGCCCCTCCCCGCCCGCGCCCCTTGCGGCCACCGCACCTCGAGGGCTGAGAGAAGAACGCCAGGCCCAGAAGTGGCCCTGTCTGGGCTCCCCCTTCCCCGGAGGTGCTGTGGCCTGGAGGGAGGGGGAAGGGCAGCGGCCCCTGCGGCATTCGTTCCCCTCCCCGCAGGGGACGCTCCTTTGTTAGGGCAGCCGGCCCGGGGGCAGGGCGGGGTGGCCAGGAGCAGCCCCCCAGGCTCTGGGCGGGGGTGGGGGGGCCCGCAGGTGGGGGCTGCAGAGGAGGGGCTGGCTGCAGCTGTCCCTGCCGCCTGCCTCAGGTCACGGAGCTGAAGACGAAGCTGGAGGCCACGGGAAGGCCGCACGGCGCCCTGCAGACGGAACGGCCGCCCCGCCAGCGGGACAGCGACAGTCCCAGGGACGTGGCCCGGGAGCGGGAGCAGCCGCAGCAGCCGCAGCAGCCGCAGGCGGAGGTGGGTGCGGCCGGGGCCCCAGCTGGAGGAGCTAAGGCCACGGGGGCAGGGCAGGGGGCGGCCGCTTCCTCCTCTGCAGTGCCGGCGGGCGCCGTGACCTGCCCGCCGGACCGAGCCGCGGCCTTGGTGCTGTCTTTCTAGGGTGCTCCATTCTGGGGGAAAATTCAGGGTTTTTTTTCTTTTTTTCTTTTTTTTTTTAACTCACACTTAACAATAATAGGACAATACGTTGTATTGGTATAGCCGTCTTCTGGCTTACAGAGAGCTTTACAAATAAGAATTATTTTTGTAACCCGAAAAATATGGCATTTTTCGACGCCGCTCCCCTCCCTCCCCTCCGTGACATTCTCGGCCCGCCTGTGAAGAGCGCGTCATTTCGGCCGTGTTCACGGCGGGGGAGCTGAGTCACAGGGAGCTCAGGCGGCAGGCCCGCCCCAGCGCGGCGGCGGGAGGCGCGCTCAGCCCTGCTGAGGCCCCGCTGGTGGCGGCTCCTGGATATTGTGGAGAAATACGGGAGGAAGCCCTTGAGCCAGCGGCCCCTCCTTTCGTAGGTGTGTTGAGGAAAACGGGAGGTGCACACCTCCTCAGGTGCGGCCTCGGCGCTGACATTTCCAGGCACCGGCCCTGTTTCGGGACACGGTCCCACGGCCGTGTCCAGGGTCGGCGTGGGGGTGGCCAGCCCAGGCCTCCCTCCTCGCTGAGGACACCTGGTCACAGGGAGTCCGAGGGGAGCGAGGTGCGGCCTCTCCCTCGCGGCCGTGACACCCCGGCCAGGAGCCCGGGCGTGTTCCCATGGGCGGGGGCGGGGGGCCCTTCCTGGTGGGAGCCCCTTTCTCTTAGGTGACGCTCAGTCAGAAAACGGCTGGTGCGCTCAGTGCCCCTGTCCATTCCGTTCAAACGGAAGCTCAGAGGCATGTTCTCACCTTAATGAACATGACTCACTAATTTCTTACCTCCAATGACTGTATTGGGAAATACTAATTGCTAAAATAATATACTTTAACACGTCTATGAGCTCACTTCTCAGCCTGATATACCTAAATTCTGGCATAAGCGTCGTACCAGGTTAGAATCTCAACCTCGCTAAGCATCCACTAGATTCCTCACAAAGCCTACTCTCCAGAACATTAGCCCGAGGATGCAGACGTTGTCCGAGTCCACGGCCTGTGGGTGTCCAAGCCCCCAAGCCCGCCCGCCCTGCACCCCTCGCAGGCGACCTGAAACCAGGAGGCGTGGTGGCCTTGGGGCTGGCTGACCTCTCCCCGGAGAAGGGACAGCCATGCCAGCACGGCGCTCAGGACTGTTCGGCCAGGACGGCGCGGGGCTGGGCTCGGAGGGAGCGTTTCCTGCTGCCACGGCCCGTTTTCCTTTTAGGCTTCTTGTTTGCTTTCCCTGGGTCGCTTGCCTGTCACCTTGCATTGGGGCACGGCAACCGACTTATTCTGCGGACCCATCTGAAAGTGAGGTTGGGGGTTTGATATCTTTCCTGGGGTCACGCGACCTCATAGCACTAACGAGAAAGGAGACCTGTCTCCTGGGCTCCCCGGCCCCCTCTCCCGAGGCCCCTGCTCAGGTGCAGCGCCCTGTGAACACCCGGCGGCCCCGCTGTTACGGCCTTTCAGACACAGGCCTGCGACAGCATGTCCTCTGAACTGTGCGGCCGTTGTTTTCTTGCTCTTTACTTCAGAAGGAAAAGGAGAGCCTGAACGGAGAATTGCATGAGCTGAAGAGAGAAAATAAGGTTTTAAGGGAAAAGAATGTTCTCGCGAGCAGGAAGGAGGAGTGTTACGAACGTGAAATAAGACGCCTTAACAAGGTAGGCGGGCGGGCCGGCCGCGCCGGGGAGGTGGGAGGGGAGGCCCGCGCCCTGTCACGTGCCCTCCTGCCTGCACGGCTCAGCCGGACGTGGCTAAGCGGGCTTTGGGGACTCCTGTCCCCGCAAAGACTCATCATGATAAAGAGAGGAGGAGAAATTATGGAAGACAGTAAGAACTTTTTTTTTTAGAACCGCATACAGCAAGCAGGTGTTTGTGAAAACTAGCAGTATTTCTTGGTCAACCACAGGAGTTTCCTGAGGAAACAGGCTGCTCTTTAAACTCGACCCCTGGGGCATGGGGTGTGCTGTCGACCAGATGGGATGTGTGTGCGGTGTGGGGTAGCAGCTTAATTTTCTGTGGGAAAGGATCAAGGCAAAAATGAAATCTGTTGCTGTTGACTTGTCCGAGGGCCAGGCCACACGCGGGCTGCAGGAGGCTTGTCCGACAGCACGTGGCTCCGTTGAAACATGCATCTCCCAAACTAGGTGTTTCTTGACCAAAACAGTAGAAATTGTCTTCCAGAACAAGAGTGGGCGCCTGGCCCCGAACACGCCGGTAGTTTAGACTGTGTGCTCTGTCGTCGTTAACGAGCGTCCCAAGGTCCCCTGGCGTCGCACACCGGCCCGCCTCGCTGACCGGGCGCTTCGCAAACGCAGCGCGGCGTCCGATCGGTGTCCTCCAGGAGAGAGCGGGGACGTGGAGGTGACCTCACAAACCAGGCACTTCCCTGTCCTCTAACAGAGGAAGGCAACGGCCAGAGCCACCGAGCCAGGGCAAATGCATGCTTTTCCCCTGGGTCCTCTGCTGGAAATCCTCCCCCCGCGCCCCCCCACCCCGCCGTGACTTAGAGGGACTGGCGCTAAGATGATATCTGAAGCCCCTCCCACTGCTGACACAGCACTTGATCTGTGTCCCCCTTTTCTCTGAGCCATTTCTCTAAGTGGAGGCAGGAGCACAGGCAGCCCGTAGACACCAGAGCGGCCGAGGGCTCTGGCTTCGGCCCGTGTCCAGGGGCGCCCTTTAGTTTTGCGTGTCTTTATGTATAATCACCCAAAGCTTTTAAAGAATTGGACAAATACTCATTTTTTAAGTCTTGCGATGACAATGGTAAAATCTTAGTGAGAAAAATTAATTTGAGTACAGTTCAGGTCCTTATAGAAATGTTCCCTAGGAGGACTTTTCTGGACGTCCTACTTGAAATTACACACTGCACCCCGAGTATCCCCTGCTCTGAGATTTCCCTTGGGATTTACTGCTGTCTAGTGTGTGTTGAATGTCCCATGTTTGCCATCTCATTGGTGCCTGGACTCCCGATCTTGACTGTAAACCGAGAATGGGGATGGGCTCCGGCAATTTTGCAAGGCCAGCTTCTCCAGTGGGCAGGATTGGCGCAGCGTCCGGGGTCCACAGCGCTTTCAGGGGTCCCGGAGCATGGAGATTTCTCTTAAAATCGGAAGGAAAAAGTGAACTTTTAGGTTGAAAAAACGTTTCCATAGGAATATTCATATACTCATCTTCTAGAACTGTGGCTGTCAGGTGTCACTTTAACATACATTTCTATAGCGGAACAGACGCCCAAAGACAATGTGATAAAGTGAGCGGCTCTGCGTTGTCCTGGCTTCTGCACTGCGGAGTCCCGGGTGCTTAGAACACGGCCTGCGCACAGCGTGTTCCTGAAGACTTGCTGAAGGAGTGAGTGGACTTCATGAGCTGGCACATGAGCTGGCACATGCAGTTGCTCTGGGCCTGTGGAAGCATGAGGTTCCTGCGTCAGCGGGAGTGATAGGGGACTTCCGAGCGGGGAGGAAAAAGAAGAGGGGGGCGTGGGCCAGAAAACAGTTCACGCCGAGCGCCTCTGCCTCACACTGCCACTTAAAAACACAGACACAAAACGATGACTTATGAAACAGGTCTGTCCTCATGAAGCACACGTGGCAGTGTCTCATGGAATGTAAGGAATTGTTATACTAATTTACATGGCAGGCTTTTTTTCTTTTTAACCACTGTAATAAATAGAAGTTACTGACAATGTTGACTTGGGGGGCTGACTATGCACCCATATGTCACAGAACAGAACTTGGGGTGACTCTACTTGCACAAACCAACTCTTGGGGACCCACGGCCTCGGCAGAAATTTGTAGCCTGTCAGCTTGGTTGATTAGCGTGCCGTTTTCAGCAGCTCACACAACTGTGTGTACTCAATTCAACTTATTTGCTTTGAAGGAAATACTCAAGGGCTTTGTTTTCAGTCAAGTTCTTGAAGAGAAGCCAGGTGTTTAACCAAAGTGAGAGGAATCACCTGAGGCTGGTCATAAATCGCCTGAGGTGGCCAGCCGGGCCGCCCGAGGGCAAACTCCACTTGCCACCCCTCCCCCAAGATGGGTGGGTCTGCCCAGTGTATCTGCCTGCCAGTCAGTGACTGTTCTACTCTGGATCAGGTTGCAGGTGTTTGCTCAGGGAAGTTGGAAAACCCCAAGGTGAAATGAATGTCTGTGAGACTCACCTTTCCTTTGTGACTCATTTGCAAGATTTCTAGAAGCCTGAATAACATGAGCGGTAGACAAGGAAATTCAAATATAACAAGACCCACAAACATAGTTATTTTGCAGGTGCAGGGCTTGGAACCGGCATATGCGATTGTCTTGACTCGTTGGGCTAACCCCATCCTAGATTCTCTCTACTTACTAACACATTTTTTAAAATTGCAACTTTTGTGATAGTTCCCAGAACTATGTCGCTTACCAACAAACTTTAACAAAAACATAAATCAGTAAACAATGTTTGTTGTTTCTTTAAATTCTTCGTGGAGGAATCCGAAAAGCTCTATTTCTCTTACAACTTCCTGAGAAGTGATACGGACATCAGCCCGGAGAAGTATCCGTCGACGCTGAGACATTCCGTTACGAAATCCCTAGCCCGTCTGCGCTCACTCAGGACCACACAGGGGTCTTTCTTTTCCTCCCTTCATGACTGTGTTGCACGGGGATGCAGGGCAGGAAGCCGCCAGCAGTACCGTCAAAATGACACCACTGCAGTGCCAGAGCCGTCCAGAGGACACAGGTTCCCACAGCTCTGAAAGTGAGCCTTTGTTTGTATAGAGGGCCCCTGGTAGCAAGCCAGCAGCCACACAGCGCGCGCTCTGAGACCACCCCAGGATGAGGTATGCTCCGCCCCCCGTTTGGAGGCTGTTCTCCTAACTCGTCATGAGCCGAAGGGCCTTAGGGTACAGATGATGTCATGTCTATGATGTGACATCGTGCTGTTTATGTAAGACGATCACGTGCTAATGAGTAAGGTTGGTGATCTTGTTGGCAAACCCAAATGTCCCTGATTTCCTTCACCGCCTCACTCAGCGTGCACGTGCCAAGTTGTACGGAATGTCACGAAAGCGGAGCCCTTTGTCCTCCTGCAGGAGTTCACGGGCATCTTCGTGGAGGGTAGCGGGCGTGGCGGGGCCAGGGCTCGCCATGCCGAGGCGGCTGGGTGAGGGCTCGCACCACAGGTGTCGTGGGCAGTGAGTCTGCCGGGGCCCACGTCTCTGGGCGGTTCCCTCTTTCCTGACGGACACGTGGTTTGTGGCAGACTAACTGAAAGTGTCCCCTGAGATCTGCAGCGTCCGCCTCCGAGGGGGCAGCGCCTCAGGCCCATCTACCGACTCAGGCTCCCCGGACGCAGACCCCGGGGTGCGGCGTGCCGACTCTTCAGGGAACTCAGAGGCTCCCTAAATTCGGATTGTCACTGGTAGAGGATCCACTCGTGCTTGACTGAAGCAGAGAAGCTAGAGAAAGACAGAGCCGAGAGAAAGAGAATAGATAGGTCATCATTTCGTGGCCGGATGGGGGAGGGGCTCCATCGGCAAAGCCCTTTGGGATAACAATGAGCTGAATAGCTGGAGCATCATCACAGAGAAAAGAGATTCTGGAAAAAATACACGCGTGCGATACAATGAGAAAGAGCAAAATCATTCAGTTATGACAGCAGCATTAAAAAGGAGATTCTACCTTGCGGGTACATGTGGGGTGACCGTGACAACTGCAGAGGAATTCCTGTCACGTCACTCTTCGATCAACGACGTGCTTCTGTCCCCTTGCAGGCACTGCGGGATGCCTTGAGAGTTGAGGGCGCCTCCTCTCCCGAGGGCCGTTTGGCGAAGCCTGCACAGGGGCGCAGCCAAGACGAGATGAGAACGGAAGTGGAGGTTCTCAAACAGCAGGTGAGACGTTGGAGGGGCGCGGTCGTCGGGCCGTGGGGCGCGTGCCGGCCGACTTGTGGGGCACTTGGCCTTTTAAAGCGGGCACCACGTTTTTGCATTCAGTTAAAGTCGTCTAATTTTAAGGCTTCTTAGGAGCTCGTCCGGAGCAAGCTTTTTACAAGAGGGAACTGGGCGTGACCGCGTTCGGGGCTCGCCCGAGGTGACAGGGACGCCCCTTCCGGTGAGACTCTACCAGCCCTGGGGCTACAGGGCTTCATCTCACAAACACCGTTAACCCACGCCCTGGGCCTCCTCAGAAAACAGCAGCGACGGGGCTGTCATTTCGCAGCGTCCAGCCCTTTCTCAGCGTCCAGCCCGCGGGCCTTTGAAGACCGGGGCGGCTTTAAAGGGGGCGCTCCTACCGGTCATCGGCAACAGCGCAACGCGCTTTAACGGGAGGTCTGGCAACTGGATGTCAGTAACGATACAGCCAAAGGTAGGAGACAGGAGCGGAAGAAATGAAGCAGTTTCTGCAGGTTAGATGAAGTCGTGCATCTTTGATTTTTAAGGCTTTCTTCACCGGAATTCCAAGGAAACTACACCCAGCCAAGCTGACATTTTGTTATGACTTCATAATTGTTACCATCGCACAAGAAGTAGCCTGTCTGTAAACCAAAACTATTCAGAGCTCTTGATGGCAAGGTTGGATTTTCTTCTCTATCAACCCCATTGAAATTACCTGCCTCATTACATCCAGGATCAAATATAGAGCTTTGAAACAACGCCCTGCAGAGGGTGAGGGTGGCGTTCAGTGTTCATGGGCTCACCCTCTGCCCCTAACGCACCACGGGCGCTGCCAGGGCCCCTCTGAAACGGCGCTGCCCACGGCCAGCCCCTCGGACCGCCTGTGGTGCTCTCAGGGACGAACGCCACGGGCCGGGGCTGCCGTCCCACGTGGGGTTGCAGCCTGGCGCGGCTCCCACCGGATAGAGACAACGGCAGGTACTCGTTTGTCCGTGGTCCCCAAGAGCAGGTCAGCGTCCACGCCCTCGCCCCTGATGGTTTGTTAACTTTCTGCACGCTCGTTGGAGCGGCGCCTAGTTCTAACTGGGCACCCACAGTCATTACATCGCCGAAGGCCACATGAAGCATCAGAGGACGCAAACTCACAAAGAAGACGAGCTAGAAGCCCCCTCGCTGGCTAAGCAACGCCAGCCCGCTCAGTGCCGTGCTGGATTGAGTGCTCGGCTCTGAGCAGATGGGCTTCTCCCATCCCTGGTGCCTCCCGTTACTGCTTACAGAGCGATAGTTTAACTGTGCCCCAGAGTGAACCTCAGCTCTGTACCAAAAAAAAAAAAAAAAAAAAAAAAAAAATTAAAAAACAAAATGTCAGCTTGGCTGGGTGCAGTTTCCTTGCCATTTGATGAATAAAGCCTTAAGAATTAAATATGCATATCTGCATCTAAATATGTATAAAATGTATCCTTTCTTCCTCTCTTGTCTGCTACATTTCACTGTGTTGTTATAAACCTCTAGTTAAAGCCCCTTGCTGTTGGCGGTGAAGTTGCGATGTGCCTTGGTATTAGGAGACAGCGTTCCAACTACTAGGTTCCAATGTAAGTTGTAATTCAGCTCACGTCCTTGGAGTTCCTTCGCTTCATTTATTCTCACAGCTTCACATTCCAGCTGTCAGGCCAGTAGTCGGCACTGTGCCAATTAAAAACAACAAAAATTAAACCTGTTTTTTCCTTAATTTGCTTACTTTTCGGGAATATTTGGAGTATCTCAGGAGACGTGTTCCACTGAAGTAATACTATGTTTCTTTTTTTATAATTTCCCTCCAAAATTCCCTCCAAATTTCCCTCCTGTGAAAACCTTCGAACACGCATGCTTTGATTTTCCGCGCACACGTGCCTTTCAGTTCTATTTTGTGCTCAACTTAGGCTTTGTGTTTGGAGACAGCGCTTCCCCTCACAGCTGCAGTTGGCCGCCTGTCCTTGAGAACCCCAAGCGGCGCTCATCCCTTTGCGCCTCGTGCCAGCGGGGAGGTGGGGGTGACTGGCGCCAAAACAAAGACCCTTCCACTGGAAGAGGCCACCACAAATAAGGGGGATATGCAGCAACATCATGGGTGAGGGCTGTTTCTTTCAAAATACCCATGTTCTTAGTTTACTTCTGAATTCAAGAGCCAGGCTCCCGAAGGACGAAGTTGAGAGCTGCCATTCTAAACGAGGTGAAAGATAGAACCCTAGTCCTCTGCGTGAGGAAGGAGCCCCACCATGGAACGGTGTTCGTAAAAAGAGGACAGTACCCCCGCCGACTGGACAAGCCCAGAAAGCAGCTCTTGTGAAATCAGGCAGGTGGCTTACGAACAAAGGAAGCTGACAGTAACAGCAGGGTAATGTTTCCTAGGTGCAAATATACGAGGAAGACTTCAACAGGGAGCGATCGGACCGGGAAAGGCTCAATCAAGAGAAAGAGACGCTACAGCAAATTAATCAAACATCTCAATCCCAGTTGAAAAAGCTGAAGTCTAAGGTACAAGTCAAACAAAACAATCTTTGCCAGGGCGTGTATGTTGTACTTTTAGTCTCAGGTTAAAGAGAAAATTCAAGACTCTTTGGCTTCTGTCAGTTGACGCTGGATGTCTTTGAGGGGGTAACACTTGGGATGATGCCATTTTTAAATAATCTTGTAAGGAATTGAAAACACCTGGAGACTTCTTTTAACTCAAGTATAGTTAGGAGCTCCCCAAGCAATCGACTCCAAAGTCTTTTATAAAGTCTAGTTCTTTTGATCTTTTTCTCCTAATATTTATTTTGGTAGAATGGGAGTTGATCTTCCTAGCACGCAAGTTCAAATCCAAAACTCTCAGTGAAGTTTCGCTAGCTCCTTGCATTTTCTTTGAAGAGCTATGTTGGAATGTCCCTGACTTCCAAAGACTTACATATTTCTAAATGTCATTTATATATTTAGTGAAACCAGAGTAAAGGTAACTGGGGCACACTCAAAGAAGACAGATGCTGTTAGCCAGCTTCTTGGAATAGAATATATTAAATGTAAGCATACTAAAATTAAGTGTAATAGAATGCATTAAAGGGAGACTCAGGAAGTTACCATGATGGGTAAATATGGATGTTAAGAGGAAAATGTAGCTCGTACAGTCTTGGCTTAAGAAAAGGAAATGGACTACAAAATATTTGATTTGCAAATCAGGCAGTGCTTTTCGACAAATAGGAAATTGTGGTGGGACCGGCTGTGGCATTTGTGGAATGTGGCTTTGTGGGAGCCTTTGAGCGTACTGCCGACTCATTCCAGTTACATTTGATAAGTAACAGAAGCTGTTTCTATATCCATATCTATACCTGTATCTCTATTCCTGTACGTACATCTAACTATATCTAAATATAGCAACCTAAAACTGAGAATTATCACAGCCCCAAACGAATTGGAATAACACTTTAAAACTACCCAACTCTCCAAACTTCGTTTGGGAATTTCGGAATAGAGCCAATGCACGTCTGGAAATCCCCAAGCTCGGCCGCGTTCCGGGGCATTTCTGCTCTCAGCCGTTCGCCCCTCCGCCCCGAGCAGGCCATCGAGAGGCAGGGGGCTCAGGGGCAGCTTCAGACCTGACCATTTGGACTCTTTTTGGTAACCAAATGCCTTTGTTTTGTCCGTAGTTAAAAGCTTGTGAGATGGAGAAAGAAAAACTAGAAAAGCAGCTAAAACAGGTACGTGGTCCCTCGCCTCAATTCACCAAGCCTTTGCCAGGGTGTTCCGTGCACCTTTGTTCCCCAGCGCCGCGGTTCTCAGTGTCCCAATTAAAGGCACGTGCAAGCCGTGCTACAGGCAGCCTGGCACAGCCACGCCGTCCGACCGCCCCGCCCCAGCGGCAGCGGGCCGACCTGCCCAGGGACTGGCCCCCGGCGCTCCGGGGGAACACACGCTCCGCGGGGCGTGTGACTAGGAGCCCGAGCTTGGCGCGTTCTCGTGAAGGGAGGTTTCCTTGCAGACCACGCACCCCTGGGAAATGCATTGCCTTGGGGTCCCTCACAGTCATTTTCAGCATTCGCAGTAGGAAACTGCAACAGAGAGTTTGCCTCTTGGGAGAAAAGAGCGCACCCTCTCGGGCATGGATACCTGCTATTCCATTGGCGCACCCGCTCTGCCGCGACCCGAATGATAGTCACCTGTACTCTCTTTGGACGAGTGCGAGGCTGTAACGGTCTCTCTCTCTCTGGCTGTGACATAAGAGCACTGGTCCTAGTTCAATGGCTGCGTCCTCCCCAGCGAGGACCCTCTGTGAGGATGGGGCAGAAAGGCCAAGTTAGCTCCACAGACCTCCCAAGTCTTCCTGATTTCTTCAAAGTTAGAAAGTAATTATAGTCTCCCCGTCAGGAATCCTGGCCCGTGAGCTCATCTGTATTGGCCCGGGGTCCACAGCGACCTGCCTACTATTTCGAGTTAGGATTACGCTGCTGTTAAGACTGTGAGACAGAACCCGCGCCACGTGGCTGTGGGAGGCCACTGTCCACGCGAGTCCCCAGGTGCCCACCCCCAGTGAACGAGGGCCTTCTTCCCCCAGGTGTGCTTGCCCACCTGTCGCTGCAGCTTCGGCGTCCACCTGTGGGATCGACGCGCACACGCCGGGCCCGGGGCTGTGCAGGATCTGGAGAGGCGCCCAGTAAGTCGGAACTCGCACGTCGACTGGCGGGAGCTCTCTTTTCGTAAAATTGTGTCTGTCTCTGGGAAGGTGGCACAGATAGAGTCTCTACATCATCCCAGCCCCTGACCTGCAGAGCGGCGGGACCCACGCGCGCTGCCACCCACGGAGCGGTGCCGCGTTCACAGGACACACAGATGGCACCGTCAATGGCAAGGCATCAAGCTGAGCTCTCGTCCTTTGAACACACACACACAGCATTTCATACGGTCATTTTTAATGACATGCCTGACTCTACCCAGAGGGCATCTTTCTGTGTGAAGAGAGGCAAAGGGAATAAAGCAGAGACTGTCTGAGAGATGCCTTTTCCCGTTGTAAACTTACGCTGAACTGCTGTGCATGTTGCTACACCAAAGAGTTTTTGACACTTTCCAGTTGAAAGGATATTCTAAAAGGGTCCAAGAAAAAGCGACCCGCTGAAATGGCCCTCCATGGCTGGATCTACCTGGGCAAAAGGGCAGGAGCCGTGAGGCAATTATTTGTGAGGGGGCTGGGCCGGGCCAGCCAGCCCGAGCAGGACAGCCCCGAGCTCCCGGCCGTCCCCTTGAGCGGCGGCGGCGGTGGCATGCCCTGCCCTGCTCGTGCCCTGCGGTTCTGCCCGCAGGGACGGGATCGTCACATGGGACACAAAAACAGTGCATCCTCTGTGTTTTGCATTTGGCCAGATAACACCCCTCTTCCTTTGTTTCTGTGAACTGTGTTTCTAACTATGCAAAGAACCCGAGATTTTAACTGGGTTTTTCTAGCAGGGCACCTACAGAGACCATGACCTTCCTGGTCCCGTAGTTTTGTACCTGAATGGGACTCAAGCCCTTTTCCCAGGGAAGGACCAGGGACTGTGGGCGGCACAGGGAGGTCAGGACGTAATGAGCATCTTCCTTGAGCCTGGGCTTGACCCAGCCCCCGCTGGGAATTCGGCTTTGCTGTTGTGAACCAACGCTGCCTCCCTCCGCTCTCCCGCCTCCGCTCTTGTTTTCCTCACGCATTTGCTCGCTTCTCAGTCCTTACAGAAGCCTTTCTGGGGACCTCCAAACGTCGTTATGGCTCCTCAAATGTTTGTGATAGCGCGTGGGAGGAAATTAATACTGTGGGAAACAGAGAGAGACAGAACTTTACTTAGAAGGCAGCCCCTAGGGGTCGGGGAGTTGGGGAAACATTCTTGGGACAGGTTAACTATAAAACCAATGAACCAGTCAAGTATGTCTAGAAGGAAAAAGGACAGTTTTCTTCAGATCTTCACTTATGTAAAGGAGGCCGAAATTCACTCACTCGAAGAGCTCATCAAACTTTCCCTGCCAATGGCAAGGGCAAAGGCTGTCTGATCATGTAAAATTGTCACCAAACTGAGGCCTGTATTTGAAAAAAAGATTCCAAAAGATAATGGCTTCCATTTTCAAGCAGTATTTCAGTAAACAAAAACCTCAGTGGAACAGCAGATGTTACCCAAACTCCCAGAATTAATTTTAAAAGAGCACTTCCGCTCATTTCTAAGCCTGCATCCACGCGCACGCAGCGGTGTTTGTAAGATGACAGTGTGCTCACCTTCTTTCGGCCCCTCCCCCGCAACATGAACCTGGAGCTCAGTCACTTGTCCTCCGTGCGGGTGAGACACCTAAAAATACACGAGAAGACAGAAGCCCGAGGTGAGCTCACCTCCTCTGTCAGCTCTTCGCGCTCAAAGGCGCGGGAGCCAGAGCTGAGGTGTCTGGGTGAGGGTGGCGCGCGGTCAGGCTGCGCTTGCTGCCGCTTCCTAGTGCCGCTCCCTCCAGCCCTGCAGGTGCTCCCTGTCGGCTGGGCTGGAGGAGAGGCCTGTAACCCTGTCAGCACAGTGCTGCGGGGGGGAGCGGGCAGGGCGAGCACCTGGGGCGGGAGCCCGGAGCCTCCTCGCGGGCAGGGAGAGCCAAGGCCACTCCGCTCCGAGCGGTTAGGCAGAAAGACGCTGACTGGTCCTGGTACTACTGTCTCTTGAAATCCAGGCCTGTCGCTTCTGATTTACGCAATGAGATTTGTTTGTCGCGGTCCCTGAAGTTTGGTGTCTAGCTGTTCTCACCGCTGTGAACCGAGGAGGAAGTCCCAAAAGGGAAGTGCAGGCTGCCGGTTCCTCTCCCGGCCTCTCTGTGGCCTAACCCACTGAGCTGGGGGACTGGCTTCTGTGGGAACAAGCGCAAAGCGACAGGCGGTCCTGCCCCAGCCCTGTCCCCGCTTCCAGCTCAGACTCCCCTGGTCCCCCAGGAAACACGACACTTGCCATTGTTTCTCCTGGTCTTCCTGTTGCCTCCTGTGTGAGACTCCTCTCCTCTCCTCTCCTCTCCTCTCCTCTCCTCTCCTCTCCTCTCCTCTCCTCTCCTCTCCTCTCCTCTCCTCTCCTCTCCTCTCCTCTCTTCCCCTCCCCTCCCCTCCCCTCCCCTCCCCTCTCTTTCTTTCCTTTTTTTAAAAGAGTATTTGTTGATAGTAAACGGCTTCGCTTTTATTCATGGGCTACGGTGAATTTTATGGAAGTGTTTATACTTCGGCAGATATCCAAAACACATCTGTTTAGAAAAAAGAAAATACGCCACAACCCCAAAGCGGGACATGCTGGCCCCCCGCAGGGTGGGCTGGGGAGGGGGGTCGGGAGAGGGGGCACGCGCGGCGAGAGGCAGGCGCGCGGCAGGCCCCAGGCCCCGCCGGCCCGGCAGGGACGCCCTTGCGCAGCCTGCGCGTGGAGAGCCTCAGGGCCTCCCGACACTGCATGGGCCACCCTGTTCTGTTTGACGCCCACGTTGTGACAATCACACTTCTTGTTCTGCGCAGCCGGACTGTCGGTGGTGCACTCCTGACCAGCTTCCGCCAGATGTGCAGCACAAGGCCAATGGTAAGACCACAGCTGTGTCGCGTCCTTTCATGTTTACATCCGAATGGAATCTTCGGGGGTGTTTACCCAGCCCGCACCCACTCGTACTCGGGGCCACCTGCTCTCAGCCTGGGGTGCACACACCGCTCCAGTGCGACAGAGCTGGGGTTACACCAAGCACCTTAAGAAAGAGCAAAGGTCCTGTGCAGGAGCGCGAGGGTCCCCGCGCAGCTCCCGGTCCCGGTCCGGCCTCAGAGGCCGCGTTTCCTCCGGCGCTCGGGTGAACGCCGAGCGGCGCTGCGTTAGAACAGCAACAGCAGGGCTCTGTGATTCCCCTCCAAGGCCAGATGCACATCCACTATTCCGGGCTGAATTTGCTGGGCAGATGTTTTCAATGTCACTGGCAGACAGACAGAGGAAACCGAAGGCTCAGAAGTTGTTCCCTAACGGTTAAACGTCAGACTCCGGCTCAGGCCAGGCCTGCCCACAACGCCCACCTCCCGTGCGCTGGGAGGACCGGACAGTCACCCGCAGAGCGCTCCCAGCTGTGTGTCTGGCCCCCCTCTGGCTTACCATTCCTCGCCGCCTCCCCAGGGTCTGCTCTGCCCTCCGCGGGGCGCTCCTCTGGTCTCACGTGGCCGCCCGGGAGTGGGCTGCATCCGCGGGCCGCAACCAGAGCCCCACTTCTTCCCTCCTCACGGGTCGTCAGAAGTCAGCGATGTGCACGTGTGCAATCTCATGTGACACACACCGGTGACCCGAAGTTGTTAACTTCCAGAGATTTGAATCTATCCGGAAAAACTGACGGTGAGGCACATCCTTCCAACGTCAGGCCCTGTTTGAAGTTTGGCCTCGTTTACTTCAGACCACAAGCTCTAGTTCTCAGTCCAAGGCATCCGGTACGGAGGGAAGCGGGGAGGCAGGGAGACACTGTGCCGTTCAACAGGTTGTGGACCCCGCAAGTCCAAGGGCTCTGCCTGGTGGTCTGTGTGAATGGAGCCTCCTGGAGCCAAGCAGCGCACAGCTGGACTTGGGCAGCTCACGAGCAGCTCACAGCTCACAGCAGCACTGGGCACGGCCAAAGCTTGCGAGGGGTGCAGGCCTTGGCTTATGGCTGCAGTGCAGAGAACAGAGGCAACACGCGGGCCCTCCACAGTCAGGCACCTAGGCGCTAGGAAACTGCAGGCTTCCCTCCCCCTCTGCCCTCTGCTGCCACTACAGCCATGGGTTTGAAGGACGCGCCGGTTCCCTGCTGCGACGGAGAGTTGTCATCAGAAAGGCGAGCCACCAACCACGATGATGCTGCGCATGGCCCAGGGGTTTGAAAGCCACTGCATGTTAGTAGCTGAGCTGTCACCCAGTTATAGTCTCCCATTGTCCATTGGTCTGGAACGAATACTAAAGCTGCTTTCTTCCTGAGTGGACGTTTACTCCCTAGAACATGCAGTTACGCAGGAGCGAATTCAGTGATGCCGCAAGGCCATCTTTGTATCGCTGTTGGGTTCTTCCCGGACCAAGGTTACAGAAGCTCATCGTTATGTAAAATAGAAACGAACTGAGATGGTCATCAGAAACGAAATACAATGTGCAAAAGTAGAATTTTATAGTTAGTACATGAGACCTGCTGGTGTCTGCCGACTTGGGAAGAAATATAATGAGTTATAACGTGCAACCATGCTGGGGGAGTGGCTACAGATTAAAATTAAAGTGAAAAGGAAGCCTCTACTATGTACTAAACTAAGTATTTTTAAATACACTGTGTTAATCTTCACAGCAATGCTATCAAGTAGGTCTTATTATTATTCCATTTCACAGATGAGGGGACTGAGGCCCCGGGAACTGAAGTCGCAGGCTTAGGTCACAGTTAGTAAGACTTGGCCCTGGGATTAAGTTCTGGGTATGGAGGACCCCCAGAACTGTGGTCTGCGTCGCCACCTGGAGGGCCCTGAAAACTTGTCCCTGTGGCCCCATTAAGTGTTCTTAAAATAACAGGCACCAAAACGAGGATGGGGGCCGGAGTTGGATCGTTAATGACTGGTTCCCAGCCCTCAGTTCTCTCTTCTCCCCACGGGCACGCAGCCCACATGGCCCACGCCACCCATGGCGTGGAGAATGTCGCAGGCGGGCGCCGCCATCCTACGTAAGCCTCGGTGCGTGGATAATACAGTGGGAGCCCATCTGGGCCGGCGTGGCCCCGCGGGATCTGGCCCGGTGGCTTCGCTGCTGTTAGAGCCAGGTCCTGCTCCTCCCGCCGCAGCGGTGCGGCGGGCAGTGGCCCGGTGCAGCCCGCCCTGGGCTGACTCCGGCCGGGGAGCGCCCCAGGCAGCCGGTCCTCACTCCGACGCACACCGCGGGGGCGCTGCGCGCCCCCCTCCAGGCTTCGCACACTGTGCTCTTTCCAGCTCTGCCTGCGCTGTAAGGGCGGTGGCCGTCTGTGGGCCCCGCCTCCCGGGCCTCTTGGGGCCTCATTTCCTTTCCGTGGTGGCCAGTGGTGCTTTCGGGTCACTTAATTGGAAATCTCCTTTTGATTTGCAGGTCCAACCCAATTTCTCAGATTCCTAAAACAATGTGTGGTATCGATTGTTAAGCAAATATGGGTTCAGATTGCCCTCCCTGCCCCTCTTGCTACCACCTGAGTTGCAGGTTCAGTTGACCCTTAGGAGAGGCAAGACTTTACCTCCACCACCGAGACCTCAAGGTCCTGCTCAGGCCACGCCAGCATTGCACCCCTTACCCGCGCTCTTGTGCACACACAGGGCAGGCGTGACGGACACTGTGAGTGAACCATCGGGCGCACAGCGAGGGAGTGGCGCCCACCAGCAAGGCAAAGCCCGCTCTTCCTGTGCCCTGAGGCCCCGTGACCCCGGCAGCGTTGCCCTTGCCTGGTGGCTGCCACCGCGGAGGGAGGTCCTGCGACAGAAGGGTCTCCCCCTCCTGCACTGGGTGAGGGCTCTGCTCCCCTCCCAGGAACGGAGGACCTGCCTTTGCTTTTGCTTCGATTTCCACTCTGCCCTGGACTATCCCAGAAGCCACGGCGTCCGCATCTAGAATGTGGGGACCGTGACCCTTGCCTCCGCACCCATTTTGCAAGAGCACTGTCCGAACTACCACGGGATTCATTTTTCTTAACGTTGTGAGATACCTAGGAGCAGGGGTCATTGACGGGTCACCCTAAACGTCGGATTGCTTACCTCAGCAGGTCATGCTTCTGGGTCCAAGCTGGCATTCTCAGCGTGCGCTCTCTTTGTGCTGTGATGCGTAATGGCCATGGTCCTGCGTGGAAGAGCCGCCCTCAATGTCCCTGTTACTAAAGGGTTTGCTCAGCCGGTCTTTGAAATAGCAAATACAGGGCAGCAAAGAGGGAGCACTAACACAGTCTAAGCTCTTCTCCTGAACAAGGAGCTCGCCTTCCTCCACGACATTCCTGTGACTCTGTCCCTGTGTCCGTGACCTCTTTGGGTTTGCCTCCGTGCGGTACCCATTTGTGGCATCGTGCCCGGGTCCTGCTGAAACCTGCCACACCCTTCACTCGGGTCTTCCTGATGCCCATGATTTCAGTGTGAATGCACCCAAAGACCTGAGAGCTCTTCGAGGGCTTTGATGGTCAGGCACCCAGGGTCCGATGTTAAAAGCAGTCTATTTGGCAAGCTGTGTCTCTGTGGGTTGAGTACTGACGCTACAGGCAACTCACAGGATTTTGCTGTCATGAGCAAATGGGAAGTAGATGGGCCGCTCCTCTCTGGCATGACTGGGACGGGACACACCTGACCTCACAACGCAGCAAACGCGAGTCGGCGCTTCAGACAAGAACTCCCCCGTCCCGCCTCGGGGGCCTGGCTGCACGCTGCGGGCCACTCACGAATAAAGTACCTCTGTCCCGCCAGCCCAGGGGTGTATGCAGGCCCTAAGGCCGAAGCAGAGAGGTGAGTCTTTGCTTTTTTATCTAAAACATTTTTCTGCTGTTTTGTGTAGATTTCTCCTCCAAAAAGAAGGTCACCCCGTAGCCGCGAGCGGGAGCAGAGGGCCGAGGGGCTGCTGGGGGCGCCGGGCCAGGGCCCCGCTTTTCTGGACACTGAGGCTCATGTCTGCCCAGCTGCACGTCACCTGCTCCGCCACCGTGTCCTGGGCCCTTCGACGTGGACGGAGGCGGAGGCTTGGGACAGCTGAGATCGGATTGAGTCTGCGGGGCCAGGCTTCTGCGACCCACGGCACGGCCGGCCGTGGCCTCGAGAGGAGGTCGGCGTGGGTGATGCCCTTTGCCGCGAGACCCCGGGCGCACGGCTGGCGGGCGCCCGGGGGTGGCTTCGCAGTTTCAGCAAGTCCCCTCTGGGGGCAGCCGTGCTGCCTGCTGACTTGGGTGTGTATTCCCTGGGGGAAATGTCACTGCAGTTGTGTGTTTTTTACCTCGCACGTGTCTTACCTTGCTCCCTGGTGTTCACCGGCGTTGAGTTCTTCGGCCCGTTTCACGCGACGCTCTGTGCGTCGCAGAGGGTCTCAGCGGCCCTGAAAGTAGGACTGAGGAGGTGTGTGTTCAAACCCCTCCAACCGCCTGAGTGGTTCATTACGAATAAAGTGATAGACTTGAAGCGGAGCCCTGCACAGCTGTGAGCCTACCGCACTTTCAGGCGGGGCGGATGATGAAAGACAGCGTCCCGCCCGCTGGCTGCGCTTGGTGGCCTCTGGACCTGCTCGCCGATGCCGTCCACAGAGGTCTGGGGGTGTGCAGTGAAATCGGTGTATTTCCCAACGCCCCCCCCGCCCCCCGTGGATTTGAGTAGTTATTAATGAAAAGCATTACCCTGACTTCTCAACCCAATTAAAATGAGAAGCAAATGTATCCAAATTGTACTGCGATGAAACTACACGGCAGCACGACACGTCTAAGGATTAAGCTGATCTTAAAGTATTAAGTCCATCCGCTCAGTAAGGACTTTGCCGGGACCCCATGGAGATTCTCTGCGAGGAGCCGGAGGCCCTCGGGGTCCGGACGATGAGAAGCGCCTGAAAATACCAGGGCGTCGGCCGGAGCTGCAGGCACACGGGGCGGCGCAGACACAGCACGGAGGCTGCTGGCGTCCACCTCTGGACACTGGGCCGCTCAGTTCCAACTCAGACTGTTCTCAGCGCCTGGACGCACCTGAAGTGCCCTGCGAAGGCAGGCGAAGAGCCGTCGCGAGCCAAGCCCTGCGCGCCGGCCGGCCTCCACTCCTGCAGCGCAGGCGCTGGGGGCGCCAGCCTTCCCCCTGGTGCACTCCCCGAAGCCTTGTGTTTGCGGCTGCCCCGTTGAAGAGACGAGTGCCTCAGGGCAGTGCTTCCGTCTGAGTGAGTCGGGAAAACAGCAGAACTGAACGAGTCAGTGGCACTGAAACATTCTGGCTTTTTTTTTTTTATTCCCACTTAATGCCTTTGTGTAAGGGCTTGGCCCAGCAGGTTCTGTCAAAATCGGTGGGATGCGGGAGCGTCTTTCTGGCCAAGTGCAGCTCCCGCATCACGAACGTCAGGACCCTCGGCAGCGACGCGCTAGCTCACACATGGCGCGCCTCCTCCGTGGGAAATCGCGGTACATTCCCGGTGGCGTCCCAGCTTCCTGTGAGTCAGTCCGTTTCTGCCAGCCGGGCAGTTCTGCACGTACCCTAACTCTCTTCTTGATCAATGACCTACTTTGGATATTGTTATTTGTCACTGTCATTTATTAGAAATTACTTTTGTTTGGTAAAAATGTCCTGTGTGTACAGTGATGGGCAATAGAAAAGAAACTGAGGCATTTCCTATTCTTTCTGTTGTTTATGGAAAATTATTGCATTAACGACCCAGGAGGGTGGGTGTGTTGCAGCCGGGCAGGTGGATACCCCTTTACTTTCCAAAGTAGCCCGTGGGCTTCTAGTGTCTGTGGAAGTATCAGCTTCTTCATGTAAAGCATGGGAATCAATTAGGCAAAAATATGACAATTTAGACTGAGCAAAATATCACAATAGTCAAGTGTTCTAGCAAAATGTTTTGGGTTTTTTTCCCCCTGATAATCAGCAAAACCTGGAACCATTTTCCCCCAAAGGAAGACTACCCTTTATTTTTACATTATTCCTAGTTCCCCAAGGTTCTAACAATATGACAGAAGTCTGTCTTTCCCATAGAACAGTAAAGGTTAATCTTAGCACACAGACTAACGATTTACACATTTTATAAAGTTAAATATAGCTTTTTTAAATATAAGGAAGTGGAGGGGTCCCCTCAAATTAGGTCCCACTTAAACCAGGTTTTCTCTATCACGTCAGCGTTGGCTCAGGGCCTGGCTCCCACGTGCGCCTTGCCTGTGTGCCTGGCAACATGGGGAGCGAGACTCGTCCTGCCCACAGGAAGGCGCTCTCCACCTTCCGCCACACAGGAAGGCAGCGAGGCTGGGAGAACAGGAGCAAGGACGCTGGGCCTCTCACAGCACCCCCCAGGCCGCCCCACGCCACAGCTGCTGGCTGTGGGCAGCAGCGAAGCGGCCTCGTGGGCCAAGCCCCTTGGCGGCCAAGCCGACGGCAGGAGCCCGCGCGCGGGCGGAGCCAGGTGTGTGCGACCCCCGTCGCAGCGGTGCCCCCCCACGTTGGCGTCAGCCTGCCCCTTCGGCCGCCTCAGGTGGTGGTGTTGCTGTAAGCAATCATCTGGGGGTTTGAAGTGGTCTGTCTTTTGTGACGCCACACCTACGTCCCCAGGCTTTGTGAAACAGCAGAGGGAAACACAAAGGCGTGTGTCAGGAAAAAAATCTGGAGAGCTCCACGTCAAGCCATAAATAGAAACAGTTGCAGTCTTCCATCAAAGCGAAACTGAAAAAGCTGGCCTACATTTGAGTGCTGTTCATCATACAGGATAGACGTCTTTCAGAGGGTTGATGGTGTTACAAAGCTAATGCTAGTGATTTAGCTGTTGTCTGACATAATAAAGTTAACGGCATATTTCCAACCAAACACTCTTCCAAGTAGAGCTGGATTTAAAAACTTTTAGCAACAGGCGACTGATTATCAGGCTTGAAAACGTGTTTGTTGTTGGACGCGGCTCACAGGCGGCTGAGAACTTGCAACGATTTCTCACACGGGAAATTTTAATTCTAGCGTTGCTACCATTTCTTGGTGATTCTGAGGCTCTGGAGGTTCTCACGTGCCCAAAACATTGTTTTGTTTTTAATTTTTCTTTAAAGTTGACATTCGATGTTATTTTTTATTAGTTCCAGCAGAGCAGTTAGACAGCCCTACACGTCACATAGGGGTCCCCCGATATTTCCGGTCCCCGCTGGCACCGTACACAGTCACTGCAGTATCACTGACTATTCCCTGTGTTGTGGTTCCCTCCCCGAGGCTGTTTTGTAGCTACTGACCTGTACTTCTCCGCCCGCCTCCCCTCTGACAACCTCCAGTCTGCCCTCTGTGTCGATGAGTCTGTTCCAGTTTGGTTTGTTCATTTCGATTGTTCTTTAGAGCCCACAGGTGAGTGAGGTCGCATGGTGTTCGTCTTTCTCTGTCCGACTTATGTCAGTCCTCTGGCTACAGGTCCGGGATTCCCCACATTAGTGTTTCTTCCACTTTTGATTGGGTGTCTCTCATACGAACGAGGATCCTGTGTGAATTCAGATGGAAGAATGAAGGACTAGAGTCGGAACCCTGTCTTCCGTGGACTTGCCTGAGCCTGACCCAGCGCGGGGTCACCGTTTTCTCCCTTCTCACACGAGGGAGGCGAGCCAGAGCCGGTGCCCCGAACGCCTCCTCCCGAGGAACCTCTAAAGGCGAGGCAAGTGAATGTGTTTGGAGCACAGACGCTTTTGGAAGATTTCCATCACAGATAAAAAATGCAGGCCAATTTTGCAGATACACGCTTGTTTTCATTGATAAATATTAAATAAAATTGAGGTGCCAGAAAGATGTGCCATGCATGTGCTGTGACTACTCATACCCCAGGCAGCCCACGTTTCTCCAGGAGCAGGCCTTCTGCAGTTTGAAAGCTTGACAGAGCCGTTTCTTCTGATTCTGAAATCTTAAGAATTTCTGATACCAGGTTGCACTATCACACATAGTCAGTAGGTGGTGCCACTTAAGGTACTAGAAAGTGAAAATTCCATAGTTCAACATTAATTAACGTTTAAGTGAGTGTCATAAATGTAGACAATGCACGAAAAATCAGATTACTTTACATTAGGGACATTTTCCCACTAGGAATCTAGAAAAAGTTAAATCCTGCATGAATCCTGTGAAAATGTCCATGCAACATCTAGCGCCGTAGGCGGAGGGCCGTGGACACGTTCTTGGGAGAGACACCAGTTTTTCTCCTGGAGTCCGGGATTCCGAACCTGCTCTTATGATAAACGGCGCCCCATGCGGCTTTGCAAGACTTTAAAATAAAAAGATATTGTTTTCTCTCTTCTTAAAGAAAAAAGTAATGGCACGCTGCTGCCGTGAAGATGCAGGGCATCTGGAGCCAGACAGACCTGCATCTGGGCCCAGCGTCCCCACTGACCTCCGTAATTGACCTTGTTTGTGTTTTGTGCCACAGGATCCATGCATCTTAATTTCAAGGCTTACCCTTCTGGCAAAGTGTTGGGGAGATTAATAACATATACATCACCGGGCACATAGTAGGGATTAAAAAATGGCAGCCATCAGCAGTAGCTGGGTTTCAGCTGCAGCGCCTACACCACCCCTGCGGCATAACCGCGGCGGCACGGAGCTTTAGCGTTCATCGTTGCAATAGTAAAGCTAATCTTAATTTATTCGAACACGCTATGAATCTACTCTTTAAGGGGTAAATATATCCCCATAGCAAATCAAGTTCCACGTAACTTTTCTATGATCTAGTTGGAGAAATGAAACTGCACTGAGTCAGTGTGGAGGCAGAGCTTGAGGGCAGGAAAGTGAGCGTCTCATTCAAAACGCCCGAGGCCGCAGCGCGGGAGCAAGGGTCCTCCACAGCTGCCCGCACGGCTCCGACCCCCAGGGCCTCCGGCCGGCTGCGTGGCCTTGGGAGCACGGAG